AAGAACCAGCCAAAATCTGGTAATTTCTTGTAAATCGTTACGTTGCTTACATAAGAAGAGACACAAAACATTCTGATTTATTAAATGAAGTTAAAAAAAAATGTTTTGGAGAATCTAGGTCCCTGTTTCAAATATGAAATAGACACTGAGAAGCCTATTGCTCCTTAAATTCACTTTTAATAAAACTTACTTCTGCAGTGTAGCTGGGAGGTTTTTTAAAATGTTATTCCCATTATTTGTGAATGCAATGCAGACACACACACGTATCTTAAAAGGCAAATCAGAACAAAATTTATGGTTGGAATTGTCAGTTACACCAAGGATATAGTAATATCAGTACAAACCCATCCACCCAAGATTTAGAATTCGTTCTGCAGTCAATGGAGTACAAACAAGTTACATGGCAAACATTAGAATGGATTATGTATTTTGTTATATTCTGTTGGAACCAACCTAAAATGCAGGCATATAAATAGTACAGATATTTAATCTTTTTACTGATTACTGTAGAAATAGAAAATATTTTAATTTGGTTGAAAATGTCAAGAAAGCCTTAAAATGAAAAGAGCAGATGTTAAATATAAAGCTTTTAGTTTACTGAGCAATGAGTATGATAAACATTGGTTATTCATCTTGATGTTAGAGTTCTAAAACAATTGTCCCTTCAGTTTGCCTCATGGGAGCATGAAATTAGGACCATGTGTACGTTGATTAACAACATATGAAAGATGAATCATGATTACTGTTTTGGTCTGGTGCACAAGGCTATGCTTGACGGGTAGTGATTTCCTACCTCCTTTACCAGATCTCTGTAATTAGTGCTAGCATCTATCTCTGTTTCCCAGTATTGATGTTGAAGTGGCTGCCTGACAGTGCCTATTCACATGCATAAATTGCCTTTATGAATGAAGGAGTGTTTGCTCAACAAAAGTTGAATGTTGGAGTGTATTTCAGTATTATTTGTAAAAATGGTTATTTTTAGGACAATTCTGAAATCACCAGTGCCATCCCTGGCAGGAATTGTCAAGTATAAAAAATAGATATTACTTTCAAATATTAAATGCTATACATTCTATATCAAAAGGACAAGGGAAAAGTTCAACAATAAAAATTAAGCAGATTTAAAAAATTTCTATCGTATTTCATTTATGCTTCTGATGGCAGGCATTAGTTAAAATTAACTTTTCTTGGAGGCACAATTACTTCCTGTGGTTAAAATGTAATTTAAGCTTTATTTCTGGAAATGTAATCCTAACGCTGTTCCACTCTAGCATAGTAATGGATATAAAGAGTTGTTTTAAGTACACTTCGTTAATAAGTTGTTACCATAAATGAAGGGGGTAGGAAAAATATAAACAAACAAAAATACAGGTTAGCTTCATGTAATAGTCTTTGACTCTCATTAATACTTGTGCTCTTTCATGTTGGAAGATGAATAAATAAAATCAAATGCACACGCCTTGAACATCCAAATGAGTTACTCATTCTTCAGGAGATGGTGTGTATTAGTGCTATTCAGAACTGTGCCGATTTAAGGTGTTTTAGGATCTTAACCTAACAAGTTGTTCATGTGGATCAAGGAACAGATCCAACATTGATCTCTCTGGTTTGAGGTATGTGATATGTGATGGAAATTCTTTTTGGCTTGCCTGCCCAGTGTAGATTCAGGATTTGGATCTTAGTTTATCATGTTTTCTGTGAAGTTCTGTGCATTAGATCTCACATTACGTGAGATTTAATGTTATGGATAACACCCCCCACTCCAGCTTTTTGACAAAGAAGATTATTTGTAATTTAATCTGTGTGTATTTCAACTTTGATTATCTCTTTAAAGAGCAGTGATGTGTAGTTCTTCATAAAAGATGTTTTGGCTGTTTCGTTTCCTATGTATTCCCTCTCAGTCAGTGTGTATAGAGGTGTGTGGACTAAAAGGATTTTATAGACAAAGCTCCAGGCAATGGAGCCTTGCTTTCTAGTAAAGTTCAGAATAAATTAAAAGCTGCATGTAAATTCAACAAATGTTAGTGGTTAATTAACCAATAATGTAGAGCCCTACGGCTATAGCATTAGCATTTATAGTTTTAAAGTAAGATGCTCTAAACAAGTTGCCTTAGCTGTAAACCATTTAAATAGCACAATTACTTTATAGAAGAGAATACTTCCTGGAAGAATATATTTTTAAACTCACATCAGTAAGTACTTGGAGGATTAATACCAAAGTTTAGCATGATCAAATTGTCTGACCAGCTTACGCATTTTTGTTTATAACGTGTATGACAGTTATCTAGTTCAACACTTTAAGGTGCCCCTGATTCTCTCCCAGATTACTGCAGCCTTTTTGTACCTTTTACACACTGGGAAGCAAAGTTTTACAACCGGTAAATATCATGTGCTGCTTAAGTTCATCAGCAGAGTTTGGCTGGCTTATGTTATATTTACTTTTTGCATCTACTCTATTAATGGTTGTGATATACTGATTTATACTTCTATTGTTGCATATTTTATTATGTCACCATAATTCCAGTCAAAATGCAATTAAAGATGCAGTAAAAAGCGTTGCTATGTTATTTTTTAAAAAATACAGGCTATAAAAGATCCTATCTAAAGAATTAAAATACTTGTGCTGATTTTCTGTGGGCTTTGGTTGAACTCATGTTTCAAAATTGCAGCTGTAGGACACAAAAGGAGGGCAGGTAACAGTTAATTTGGTGGTTTATCTGCCTTTATTTATAAATATAAAAAGTTGATAGTTTATTTTTTTCATATTTTTTTCATAAGGTCTTTGTTTTGCTGTAGTAGTAAGTTAAATGAGATTTTGTATAGCTTAGGAGACACAGAAAATGGGTCAGAACAGGTATTAATAGAGAAGTTAAGAATGAAAAAAATTAATGTCTTCTTGTTTCAGGAAACCTTTTTGTGTAACAGCTTATTTAATGCCAAACTAAATCAAAGTTAAATGAAAAGCCACCTAAGAAGAAAGTAAGATTACAAATTTAACTTCTAAAAGTACTCTCAAGATCTGCTTTGCTTTCATTATTTATGTAGTATTTTATGGTTTGGCGGTGTTTTTTAAGATAATTCATACCTTGTTTTTCTTTCTAAACACCTGTGTCTATGAAGTGAGACATGGTGAAGGTTTACACATGATGGTGACATCTAATTACTGTTGGAGTGCTTTTATACTATTCTCTTCTTTACACTGTAGCTGTAAAACCAGATACAATCCCATGCAAATAGGTAGTATTTTTTTTCTAAAGACAATGGTAAATGTTATTTGCCTTTCAGGGAATCATGTTACTCCATGAGAGTGTTGCAGTTTTCAACTTTGTATTTAGTAAGGATGAGGGTGATGCTACATTTTGTGTTTCAAAACCAGTTTCACTGCTTTTTGAAGGGTAAAGTATCTCTATCTCTGAAGTCCAGAGTTCTTTTGTAGAGTTGTAGAAGAGACACCAGATTCATCAGCTTGTGTACGTGTCTGGATTCCTCCCTGGGAGAGCAATGGAGTAGTTCTCCGTTTGGACCCCAGTTTCTGCATCACTCAGCAAGGATGGCAGTATCTGTATTAATCATGTTTGATTATAGAAAAGGGTGTCTGATGTAGCACAATGGATTCCTGTAATATGCATTTCTACTGGAAGAGTTATGGAATGTATCTGAATTATTCCAACCGTAAAGCCACTGTTTCATTTGTTCTCCTTGAACTATTTGTTGATTTTACCCAATAATCACTGAGAAGATTGAAATTTAAATTATCCATCTATATTTTTGTCTAATTAAGCTCTTCTCAGCAAGAATTTCTTTAAAATACTTAAAATACATGGTAAAATGATTGGTGCCTTTATACAGGGGCTTCTCACATAAGTAAATACAACAGAAAAGTAATCCAGTGCTTAAACCACATCATACTCAAAGCACATGGAAATACAAATTCCACAAGAACGATATCAGGCACAGACACATAAAATACATATAAATATATCTGTATGAAATAATTTAATGAAGGATAGGTGTGGGCAAATACTGGACATCAATATTCTCTGTAGTAAGAGTTTCTCCCATATACAATTCAGGCACGCTGATGGACCACCCTGTAGGTTTTGTGTCCTGGATTATCATACCTCAGTTTATGTTAAATTTAATTGTTCTGTGTGGTTCTTGTGAGCGTTGAATAATATTAGACTTGTGAGAAATGATTACTTGATTATAGATGAATTCTGAGTGTGCTGAAAATATGGTGTGTTAGTTTGTCTGATTGACAAATAGATAATAGAGTCCTTCAGGCACCTGTTCTGAGGTAGTTAATGAGATGAGGGGTGTCTGGGATGTGATGAGTGCTCTTTAATCAGTTCTTCCACTGTTTTGCTCCTACCTTTAATTTCTTTCCTGCAAATGGCCTTCACCAAGAAAATAGAGCTGAAGTGTTACGACCGCAGTGCTTAGCAGTGACATTCCTTCTCTCTGAACTTCTGATACCCTTTTTCATAACTGTGGGATTGAGATCAGCTTCTTCAGACTTAGTTCTCTCCTCTCTTCTTACACTGTATTTGCCTAGGAGAAACCAGTTTGTTTTGTCATTAAACTTTGATTAAAGATGCGGGGTTTGTACAGGTATGATTAACCTAGATGGTGGCAGTTGAGAACATCACATAACTTTTTTTCAAAAATAAGCTTCTATGATTGACATCTACTGGGCAAGTCATACTATGTAAGTCACAATTTCATGTCTTCATGCAAATATTATATTCAGACTTTGTTTTCTCTTTGTTTTCAATTCCTTGAGTAATACATTTGGAAAGTTGATGACAGATAAGTGAATGCAGATGTATGCAATCTGTTCTGTCATTGCCTGTGTTCAGATTGATGGATAGTGTGCCCAAACAGAAGGAAAAAAATCATGAGTTTTGTCATCATCCAACAAGGTATTTAAAAAATAAAAATATACGTAAGTTCCACATAGCTTGTTTTATTCAAATTATTTTCTCGTTATTTCTCTACAGGGGCTGTCATCAGTCACCAAGAACAACGGACTACTCAATATCACCTTTAAATATGACAGTAAGTTGAAAATTTGCACTATACTCACAAAAATTGAAGGCTCCATCACAGTTGCCAATACATAGCAGCATGTCTCTTAAAAATGGCTCTAAGAACAGTGTGAGCTCTTTAATATTGACATAATTTTAAAATCTAGATTCATTTCTGCTGGGTCTGTTGGGTTTTCTTCCTGTGTTTCATTGAGAATAAAATGATCTAATAATTTGTAGTAGTTTCACTTTCAGATTGGTCTACATCATCAGCCCAGGATTTGGCTGGAGAATTATAGAGAATAATTTTATTCTGTGAAAGACTGTAGTCATTGAATGGTTCATTACAGACAAAGTCATAAGGAAGGATTATTTCAGGCCTCACACATCTTTCCTCTGATGTGTAATTTTGGGAGAGAGTGGTGTGAAGTATGTTGCAAGGTAGAAAATGTGTAGTTAGTATTTGTATACAGGGAATATATTAAAAATTTGTATTTGCAGGGATTAATATTGAACATGAGTAGCATCTTTTCATCTGGTTGAAATAGTTGGAATTTTTAATTAGCTACAGTGTTAAAGGACCAGGCTAGTGCTCATGTTCAGTGAAGACAGATGGCTTTAGTACTGTAGCAGATGTGGCCTGTTGCAGCTAAACTAAGAAGAAAGTAATCTCTAGCATAATAACAGTAATAAGCAGGTTGTATCAATAATACACCAGACCTCTTCAAACATCTGCTAAATGTCTGTGTTTTATTGGTTTTATTTTTTAAAGGTTTTTGTCATCTGTGTTGTCCAGTCAATGAAGTATGACAATTGACTACGTTGGGAATTTATCCTTATTTGGCCACTTAGTGGCTATCACCAATACAAACTCAATGTACAGTCAAGAGAAGTTCTTAATTTACAGCAGTAATGTTTGTATTAATGCCAGTGCAAGTCACAGGTGTTTTTTTTGCCTACCCGAAGCAATTACCTCACATGCTGAATGTGGGTAAAATTTCATCATTGAGACCATGTACTCAGGAAATCTAACAATAGTTGGTTTTGTTTCGTTCTGATCATCCTTTTGTTCTTCTATTTTTATGTAAATTTCTGAATTAGCAATCCTTCACTGTGATTTTTTTTTAAATCTAATTTTATGTTAATATTTAAAATGAGCAAATTTAAGTTTGTCAGATTGTAGGAGAGATAAGTGGTCACTACAAAATAATTACGATTTTTTTATCTACACAAAGAAAACCAGAAAATAATATCAGTCAGAATAGACATCCCCATGCTTAGTTAAGACAGTGGAATCTGTTTAAGTCCCAGTATCTGTCATGTTTTTTCAATTACTTCTGGCACCAGGAACTGTGTTTAACTAATGACAAGTGTTAATTCAAAATTCTGCTGGCTCTGTATGCTTCCTGGACAGAGGACTTATTTGAGTTCTGCAGTACTAGGCAAAGAGTTCCCTGATACCAAAGCTAAGGAGTTAAAAGGATATGGGAATACATACTTATCAAGAATAAACCAGCACAAAAGAGAATTTGGCTTGCTGGCTGTGATTTACAGGTTTTTATTTTGCCACACAGCAACTCTAGCAAACTGTGGTTTATGTTGTTAAATTAGCTGATTAGATTATTTATTCAGGTGAAAACCAAATGTTTGTATATTTTTGTATTTCACTTGTATTCAAGTAAAAGAATTGTTTTTCTGAGAAGTGCAATTTTCCCCTGCTGTTTTCTTGCTAAATCTGTTGTTCTTTAAAAATGTAAATCAGTGACTCACAGTCAAACTTCAGACATTTGTGCTATATTCCATTTTGGCAAATTGTCATTTGACTGTAAAATTTTAGTAACCAGGATCCAAAATCTTGGGCTTGCTATTAATTAGATCCAGACCTAGCACAAAAGTGTTACTTCAAACTTTCCATTGAAAGAGATATTCTATTCTTCTAAGAGGAAGTTCATGCTATCGTTGACTTCACGCGTAGCAACAGAATTTTACAAACAGCAGAATAAGTACCAACTGCCCAGCTTGTGTAAAAGGCAATGTTGTACAAACTGTTCTGTTCTTATTTGTGTGGCAGTTACATAAAAGACCCCCTTATCATTGTTATAGTAAAAAGCCATTTTCTAGAATTGCTTTTCAGTTAATAATTTTACTGTCATTGTCTTTAAGATCACACCTCTGAATTAAATTTTAATTTCCATCATTGGCTTATCATAACACTAGATTTTTCATGTTTTGTTTCTACTGACTTTGTATAGACATATAGCATATAGATGATCTCAGTTTTTTAGAATTAATTATCAGTCAATAATATATAGTCTACCAGTCAACTTCTTGTGGATTTTGTTGTCTTCACTGGTTCAAAAGCAGAATGTGCATACACATCTTCAGGTATAGTGTGGTCCCAAACTGTTGAATTCTCTGGCCACTACTTTTCTTCCTGCCACAAAATATGAAGCTAAACATTGTAAGGCTTTAAAAGTAATAAAATTTGGGGTTATTTGTTTTCTTGTTTTGAATGCATAAAGACATGATCAAGTTCGACAACAGTCAAGAGTGTTTTTCTTTTATTTTCTTAATAGAAGCTGAGGTTTTCCATAAGCACCTGTTTGCAGAGCTGTATCTTTAGGGAATACACTGTATTTCGTGAGCACAAGACGACAAAAACAGTTCTGACTGGATCCAGTGGCAGGAAAATGGTCTACGGGCATGTGGCTACTGAATGGATGACAGATGAGATGGTTTTACCCAGTAGGTTCTTTGTGGTCAGGATCAAGCAGTATCGTGGCTAAAAAACAGTTCTTGAGCACCAGTTCTAAAGCTTCATGTTGTTCATTGTTCTCACATGTGCCTGATCACTGACCAACATTCTCGTGCTCTAGGCACCGTACATGCACAAAATTAATGTCAGTCGTCATATTCTTTTGAGTACTGAGGAAAAGTTGTTCTCTTTTGGGAGTCCCAACACGTGTCATTTCTATTCTTATTGTGTTACAGGATACACCGGTATTATAAACTGGTAGTTTCCATTGGAGTCCTGTGAACTAGTATTTTGCAACTGGTAGAAGTGGTTGTGCTCAATAATTTGTAAAGTTTTGTGGTTTTCAGTGTCATGAGACAAAGGCTTCATCTAGATTTGCTCTACTTACTTTTATAGAATAAATAGGGCACATGTACTTCTAGTTTGATCAATCTTGAAGAAATACTAGGAAATTAACTTGATTCTTCATTTATGTGGAAAGATACAGGCCATGTTGGAATCTGGTTGCTTGAATAGATCTTTAAGATTAGATGCTATAGGCAGGTTATGATTTACTTGCTCTGGTATGGCACAAGAATGTCAGCTAGAATGTTTTTCTTAAAGCATGTATTTCTCCATATTTTTAGACTGCACGCCTTATCTGAATTCAGTGGGAAAACACGTGATTGGAGATGTGCAGAATATAACTATCAGTCAGTATGCATGTTATGAACAGGTTGCAGTGACGATACTTTGGACAGCAAATGCCGTCGGTAAGTAGTAAAGAGAAATGGACTAATTCATTACGTCTTCAGTAATAACTTCATACTGCTTGGTATTAAGTAAAAAAATTATGTTTGGAGTCATGGAAGTGAACTGCTTAAGAAGAAAGAAATTCTTAACAGCTTTGCAAAGCTGCTATTTTTACTAGCTCGCTTGAAATACCCTTAAAACTAGGATACTTTCTGCAGCCATATGATGCTTTTTACTATTCTAGTTTGTTGACTTCTTTCTGCTCTTTGGAACTGCAGTAGCTCTGATTTCATTCTCTGCCCCAAGGCATTGGTGCATTTCAGTGGCATTGATGGAGTTTAATTGCTGATGCACTTAAAGATTCTTTATGATGTATGTTGTTTTACAGGTGAAAACGGGTATTTACTCATAGCTAGATGAACTTTAATGTGTTTCCTTGTCAGGTCTCATCACTAAGCATATTCCTCATCCTTAAATGTCACTGGAAGTACCTTGTTGCCCACTAGAGCAGTTGTCTCCGAAGTGGGGTGTGTGTAAGATCATAGAATGGTTTGGGTTGGGAAGGACCTTAAAGATCATCTAGTTCCAACCAACCCTTCTGCCATGGGCAGGGACACCTTCCACTAGACCAGGTTGCTCAAAGCTCCATCCAACCTGGCCTTGAACACTTAAAGATGATCCCCTGGGGCATGTGAAGAAAATTTTAGAACTTCTATTTACATATTTTTTAGATTTTGAAAAAAACCCCTAAGATTTACTAGTATTTAATATACAGATTAACACTGGCAACCTTACTTGGTCTCTGTGTCAGGTGTTCATGTTGATGTGAGGTATCCTGAAGGAAGAGTGGGTGTTCTGTAATGTGGAGGGGGTTCACAGTGGCACCCTCAGTCTTTAATTTTCTTTCAGCATATTGCAATGCATTGCAGCGTATGTATGCCAGGTTAACTGGATTTACTGATTATATTATCTAGTTTTAACTAAGCTAACCATCATGAAATGGACAAGTGGCTTGAGAGAATTGAAGACAATACTAACCATGCGAGCACATGCAAGAAACAAGAAAATGGTAGAGCTGACAATTCCCCTACTCCTAGTACAGGCTCTGTTGGCCACATTGGAAGGTGAAAACAATGACTATCTCATCATTTGTTGTAAAAAGTTAGCTAAAATTATCAAGACCATTTGAAATACACCTGCCGTTGTTAAGGATGAACCTTGCCCTAAGCATATAGTGTGCCTTGAGATATTAGCTAATACCAATGAAGCCGTCACTATTAGGAAGACATTTGAAAACTAAGCATGTGGAACATGAAGGCAATTTTTTCAGCAATGTTTCAAGCCATGCGATACTCAAGAAAGTACACGATTATACTAAACTTAATGATAAATCTTTAGAAGTCTTGTGAAATCTCGTTTGGGATTTCCTACTCAGTAGTGAAACAGAAAAAGCCAAATACCACTAGGGAAACAACTGATGTTCCTGCCACAGTAAACTGGCTGAAATAATACAGGGAAATACTGGAGTGAAAAAAAGCGTTCTGGTGTAAGGTTTGAGAGCTAGCACTGCATGTGTAATTCAGTCATTGCATCATTCGTAGGGAAGCTTGCAGCAGTGAAGTTGGAGGCAGAAGTGCGCAGAATGCCATCAGTGTGGTTAGTTTTGGAAAAATAAGACTTTTAAATAGTAGAATCTTTATAACACTTTGCAATGAGATCGAGAATGACCATGAAAGTCTTTTGTGCCACACAGAGGTTCACTGGTTATCTTGTGACAAAATGCCTAAGAGTTGTCAAACTCAAATCTTTGAGTTAAGCATTCTTCTTTCACAAAAAGGCAGGTTCCAATTTTGCTGACCTTTTCTGTGATGACAAGTGGCTGTCAGCTCTATGCTACCTAGTAGATATTTAAAAAAAAACCACCAAATCAAAACCACAGTTAATGTGTCTCTTCAAGGTAAAGGTGACATTTTAAAAATTAGTGAGATAGTAACTGCTTTTTGGAAGAAAGTCATGCTGTGGAAAGAGCTTTTTGAAAATAAATGTTTGGAAACGTTTCCTTTGTTAGATGATTTTGCTAATGAAAACAATGCCAGCTTCTCACCTATAAAAACTCTCATATTTTTACACTTAAAATAATCAGGAAACAAATTTCCTGGCCTGTTTAAAAATCTTCTGAATGCAGAGTTTCAGTCAATTTTGAACCCATTTGTTAAAAATATAAAATGCAATGCATTCTGATGAGTTTGCAGGAGCAACTGACATTAAGGAAGATAGAAATTTACTAGCCAGAATTCAAGAAAAACCTTTGCATAATTGGAAGATGGAAGAGAAAAATTAGTACCATGATTTAGTAAATGCAGCCAATAATTCCCCTCCTCTATTATCTTTGTATCTTTGTGATGTTCTTTGTTCAGCCATGACAGCCATTAAAACCAGGTAATGAAATAAACTGAACGTAGAACCAGACCTTCAAATTGCTATATCCCTAAGTGTTAAACCAAGATTTAAAAAGCATATGTGAAGCATATTGAATCACATAGCACTTGCTCAAAAATATTATTAGTAGTATTTTAAAGTGGGAACAAAAAGGTTTTTGTCTCATTAGTAAACTAAAAATTATTTTTAAAGTGGTAGTGTTTAATTTTAATCTTTTACCTCATGATTTTTAATTTTTTTGTGTATATTTAATAATGTACATAATATATTGGTGCAATTGTACAGATGTATACTTTATAAATATACTGGCAGTTTGTGGTCGAAATTTTTTTGTTGATAGGAGTCTATGATCAACAAATTTGGAGACCACTGCACTCTAGTGCTCTCTTTCTGTACCAACACCTGCTCATAATTTCTTTTTCTTCACACTAATTAAGTTCCTAAATAGAGTAACTTAATGCAAACTCCTTTTTTTTAATCACCAGTGTTTAGCACATGAAAGAGGTGGAGTTTCCTTCTTCAATGTTTTTAATACTTCATTAAAGAATTTTAACTGCAAAGGTATTTCTCCATATCAATGTAATAATTAGAGTTAAGCATAACACAGTTTTCAAAATTAAGACAGAAGTATTTTTTCCCCTGTTCTTTTTCTCATACAGTAGTCTCAGCTTGATATTTCATGGTTCATACTCCCAGAAAAAGCTTTTAAATTAGGTTTTTCTTATGATTTAATAAGAGCTGGAAGTTCCCATTAATGCAGTAGGATTGCATCCTAAATGATGAGATATGATTAATAATGCAAATGTGTATTTATTAAACTTGATATAAATTTTTTTAGTCTAGACCTGCATGTATTAAATCAAACACATTAGATAAAAAAACCTGTCATTTTTTGGTGGCCTCCCACTATTAAATCACGCTTTCATTTTTTTTTTTTTTTTAAATATTCGTTTCTGGAGTTTACAAGAATATATGAAAATTACATTTAATTCTGCAAAACTGTGCAGTTGAAAGCATTTGGTAATCTTCAGCTGCAGACTGGATGAATCAAATCTCTATGGGAAACAAAGCTTGGTGTTCGTTCTTGTAATGATCAGAGGTTAATCCTTTGGAAAGCGTGAGGACAGAACTGCTGTTGAAACATCTCAGGTAACATGGAGACTGGACACTTTCTCTTTCATGGTCTTCACGTAAGCACAAATAGTGCTTTTGTTCCATGGAATATTAAGAACACATTGGGCAACTCATGGTCTTGATCTACAAAATTACAAAACATTAAAATAAACCCCACAAAATCAGGAAAAATAGTGAAACAGAGGAGGTCCATGGGAAATCATACATTTGGGATTTTTTTTTTTTAATTTGACAAGCATAGCATAAACTCAAATTATTCCATTTTGATTTATGTAGCATTTAGCTTACAAAGGCTGTGCCTTTGATAAATGTGTATTCTGCCATTTGTAATGCTGTTGAAAAGATGTAATTAGATGAAGTAGTGGTCGTTAGTCTTGAAGAACTACTCAGTGACTTTGATACCTGAGCCACAAAACTATCACAGGGTAACAGTGGCATTTTCCTGTGATGTCTGCATCACTGACTAGGTTTACTTATGTAACGAAGTAACTCCATGGCGAGAACGTTGCAAATAGATGAAAAGACACTGTGCTAAGTGTTAGTAGTGTTAGAGTAACTTGAAAAACATTAGTGTAGGTCTGGCATCAGTTATTTATAACTGGAATAAATTCCATTCCATTTAAGTCAAGTTTTCTGTTATACCATACTATACTAGAACTAAACAAGTAATAACTGCTATCACTTTAATCTGGTAGTCTCAGAAATGATAGAAAGATGTTACAGAGGAGTATTTCTATAATTTGCTAGAAAAATGTTCTATTTCATTGCTAATAATGGAAATGTGAAGTTACTATGAAGTATTCCTGAGGGTATTGAAGATAATGATAACTTGCAGTGATAATTTGGAAGCCCCAGCTGAGTCATGGGCCCCTCTGCTCTAAGCATTACACAAGTATGTAGTAATCGCAGTCTTTGCCAAAGATTGAATTCTAAATAGGCAAGACAGATAAAAAATGCAGGAAAAACTGACTTACAAAGCAGGTATTAAAACACAAGCGTGTTTCTTATCAATGGTAAGTTTTATTTTTAAAGACAAATGAAATATATTAAAATTACATAAAACACCACACTATGCATTTTGAAATATTAGTCTTCTCTTTAAATGCCCTGCTCTTCGCAGGGATTGAATACCTGAAAGGATTTCGAGTAATACTTGAGGAGTTAAAATCAGAGGGAAGACAATGCCAGCAGATGGTTTTAAAAGATCCAAAGCAGCTCAGCCCCAGTTTTAAACGAACAGTAAGTGCTTTCTTTCAAGAAAAGTTTCATTGTTGCTTGATTGTGTGAGTAGTTTTGAAAGTGCTTATATGCTGCTATAAATCTATCTATATACACAATGTTCTGATTACTAGGTTGCAGGTTGCTTCCTAAAAGTATTATTCTTTAAACTAGTGATAGTTGTTACTCTACAGACAGATCTAGTCCCCTACTATAGAAGCTTTCCTGAAGCTGGAAACTGTCATTTGGGTGACTTTGGAGTACAGGTGCACATCTGTAATAGTACACATCCAACTCTGTAGTGGGATTCCTTCTTATCAATGTGTAATGGAGGGGTAGATAAATGACTCCTAATGTATTAATTCCTGCTTGTGTTTGCAAAACTGTGGGCTTGCTTTGTAAGATACTTTCAGTTACAATAGTTCCTTAAAATTTGTCTCAATCTTGTCTTTTTGTAGGGAATGGAATCGCAGCCCTTTGTAAATCTGAAGTTTGAAACAGATTACTTTATAAAGATTGTTCCTTTTCCTTCCATTAAAAATGAAAGTAATTATCACCCATTTTTCTTCCGAACTAGACGTAAGTATTTCATGCAAAATAGTATTGCATATCATCTCTTCACCAATGGGTGTTGTCGTGTTCCCCCCCGCCTCTGGCACTTCAGTTTTCCCAACCAAGTAATGTAGTAGATGATGATGATGTTAGAAGAGTCTGGGTTAAGATAGTTACTGACATAGTCTCTGGCGGTAGATCTGGGTGTTAAGTGGAAAGGATTTGGATGCCACAGATAAATCTGTGGTGTATTATAAATGTGTGTTAGGCAACAAGCAGAAGAAAAGTCTCAGGTAGGCCTGAGATTATCTCAGGTTTGCCTACAGCAGGATTACTCTCATGGTTCTCAGGAACATTTGACTCATGAAGATGGTTTGCTGTTCCTCCTCTCTGGACATCGTGAAGAAGCTCTGGTTGTTCTTGGTTTTGAAATCACAGTTCCAAAACCAGATATGTAGAGATAGATATAGATGACTATATATAAAATTAGATAGCAACAAATCAAGTTGAATTTCTCAAAACGACTTAATTCTCACTGGAGTTAGAGAGAAGAAACTTGAAGAAGCTCCTCAGTGCTTAAGTAGTATGATGACAAACTGCAAGTACCTTTTGGGGTGAAATGTTGCTATTTGTCCTGCTTAGGTTTTTTTATCCTATAAAACTTCCTTCAAATATTTGAAAGTCTGTCTGTTGAGGCAGACTGCAGTAACACTTGTCTTTGTAATAGTGGTCAGCATTTTTATTTACTCTGAGTAAATGTATTCCAGACGAGTTTCAACTTCCTCTCCTGCTGTGCTGTGCCTGATGCTATCCCTTTTCTCTCACTAAGGAATGCTGTTTTCAAATTAATGAACTTGTGTTTCTCATATAAAGATGAGAAGGAACTTGAAATCATAACAAAGAAGCTAAGATTAAAAAATATATTTACTCCACACATATTAGAGACTGGGAAAGAAATGGGCGTATTTTCTGCAAAATTACGTATTCCTTTCTTTTGCACTTTTTCTATTTAAATAGCATAGCATTTTGATACTGTATCATTAATAAATTTTTGTGTGTATTTCTAGCATGTGAATTGTTGCTGCAGCCAGAAAACCTTGTCTGCAAACCTTGTAAGTAAAATGTAATACTTCCTGTATATTCTTACAAAAAGTTACTGTACTTGAAGAGTCACTTTTTTCCAATTCATTAATATCTCCTCTAACAGACTGGAAGCCAAGGAATCTGAATGTTACCCAGCAGGGTTTTAACATGCAAGTGTCCTTTGATCACGCACCTCACAACTTTGGGTTTAGATATTACTTTCTTCACTACAAACTTAAGCATGAAGGGCCATTTAAGCAAAAGACCTGCAAACAGGTACGTCACTGAGTTTTGCAACTCTTAAAAGCACAACACCTGTTAAATGTTCTATGGCCTTAGAGAAATCTTAAAAACTTAATATAATATAGAATACTATCAGTTTTAAAATTTTTAAACTAGTTGGTACTAGTCATGTAAATAATAATTGTATTGTGTTAGAACTCATCAGCCAAAACCAGGACTGAGGGGCCTCCACTGGAGCTGCATGGTATAAGCAAATTGGAAGTGACTGTTCTCTCTCTTCAACACGTTACAACTAATTATTACTACAAATTGCAGTTTTATTATGTTTCTTATACATATTATTTCCTACTTTTTAATTTCACCTTTGCACTAAATTTGACTATATAGATTATCCATCTGAAATGGTATCACAAGATAGCTCTCACTTTAATTTGTGTGTGGAATTAGGTGCTCTCTGACTTTGTACAGCTGTGTGCCTCAGTCTTGTTATGTGAGCTGCAATTTGTTGTATTATTTTCCTTAATTTTGGTTAATATTCAATGACAAATTTGTGCTCAGTGGTCAATCTTTCATCCTAGGTCTCTGAAAGCTAGGGAGCTTCAGGGCATAACGTAGAGTTTATGTATTAGACCAAAATTCTAAGGGTTGGTTTTTGTTTGTTTTTTTGTTTTTTGATAATTAATCATATCATATAGTACTGCGGGCAGAGGATTGTAGTCCTCGCATATCTGAATAGAGAGACTTAGTTTGGCTGGTTTAATTTGTCTTAATGTAGAAGAGCACTGTATATTTCTAAATCAATGCAAATGTATTTTTTATTAGGTTTTGAAAGTATATGAATGGCTTGCAAAGTGTTTTCTTTCCTTGATGTAGGAGCAAAACACAGATACTACAAGTTGTATTCTTCAGAATGTATCTCCAGGGGATTATATAATTGAGGTAATACTTAGCTGTTGTATAAATGACTATTTATAAATGAGGATATTAATGGAGAAATTAACTGAAATTATAGTATTTCAAGTCATACTGATGAAATTGGACTTCAGGCATCCCTACTGAAGTACCTTGGGCAAGTAAAGCTTTTTAGACAGATCGTTCTTGACCTTTCCATAACTTTGCTTCCCTTAGTGCATAGCAGTTTCATCTGTGCCTTCAAGTAAAGTTGTGCATAATTCTTGTAGTTCGGTCAGTTTTTACTATACTTAAGAGCTGTGTATTACTCTTGAATTTCTCTTGTCATCATCTGTTGGTAATGACAATATGTGAACTTTGAAAGTTAATATTACAACATTAAACTATGTACCAACAAAGACAAATTATTTCACTAATTACTAGCTTGTGGTGATCTTCAATTTTAACTTTTTGAACAGTAAGATTCTTCGCATTTGATCATAAAAGCTGTTACAGTTGTTTACGTGTTGCAGAAAAGAAAATTAAATTTCAACAAAATAAAATGAAACTTTTACTTTTCAAAGCTGGTTGATGACACTAATACAACAAGAAAAACAATGCACTATGCGCTAAAACCAGGTATGAATTTTGTTTTTTAAACTATATACAGTATTTACCTTATTAATTTAGATTCCATTTCAATTATGTTGGAAATAAATCTTGATTTGACCTGTGTCTGTTTGGTGTAATCAGGACTATTGAGGCAATTGTGCTGTGATTTTTTTTTTTTTTTTTTTTTTTTTTTTTTAAAGAGTAGACATGCACACTTGTACATACACATCTGCATCTTTGTACATTTATATTTAGTACACTTTAGATCAGTATATCATTGGAAATCTTTGTGGAAAAGTCACCTTTGTTGTTTAAGTGGATATGAAGAATCATAGCCTGTATCTTAATTGCATACAACTGATGCATGCAGTGTAGAAAAAATGTAATGAAACTGTGAGAGCAGCCTAAACATATTACTTGCCTGTGTAGTTGCCCTGAAATCAAATCAAGCAGTCTGGAAAACCTGTCAGGTGAATACTTAGCATGTCTGTGTATCAGACCAGTTATCAAAAAGGTAAATAGGGATTTCAGAATGTAACTGCAGGCACAAAACGTAGCTGCAGATGAAGGCAATGGGCAAAATGGACTGACTCCTAATGCACATGGCGAAAGGTAATCTGTGCAGGAACTCAGTTCTTTCAAAGTGGCAGTAGCTAGTTCTGCACCCTGGTACGCAAATCTGTCAGATCCAAATGACTATTGCATGCCTTATCAAAACTACACTTCATGAAAAGATATTCTCATGGGGCAAGGTATCAGTTGTCATGCAGCACTTGTTCATTATATTAGTCATTCTAATGCTGTCTTGATGGGGGCAATCAGCATAAAACCTATTTAAAATGGAGCAGAACATGATGCTTGATGCTACTATATATTTAAGAATTACCTGATAATAGTGTACTGCAGTAGTATTACATTCCCAGGGTGAAGATTTGATAAGATAACATAGCTTATTAACATATGGCTAATTCTGCATTATTTTTCAAAGTACATTCTCCGTGGGCTGGACCAATAAGAGCTATTGCCATTACAGTCCCTTTAGTTGTCATTTCAGCATTTGCAACGCTTTTCACAGTGATGTGCCGCAAGAAACAGCAAGGTAAGAGGGTTTATTCAATACAGAGTTCCATTTAAAGATGCATTTTTGCAACCAAAAATATCTTAACTGGTAGATTTATTACAGAAATCCCTTTATCTGAAGCTTTTTCATGTCTTTTCTGATTCTTTCTCCTTCTTCCTCACAGCTTTTCCATGTCTTGAAACTTTTAGCAAACTCTTAATCAGTGCTTGTTGGTAATTTGTTGCCATAGAAAGTACTGTATCACAAATCAAGACAAATCAAGGAGAGAACAAAACTGCTGTTGGGAAATACTTTGGCTTTCTGGTTTCTTTTTATTTGTGCAAGTGCTACATGACCATGTGGAATACAAACATCTTTAAATTGATATATTTTAAACATTCTCTTATTTCATTCAGAAATGTCTAATTCTTTTTTTTTTTTTTTCTTTAAATCAGATGGAAAGTAAAGCCATGTGATACAAATACTGTTCTCAGCACTGTCTGGAATACTACTTGTATCTATTACTCCAGATTTGCTCACTTTCCTGGAAGTTGCCTTTATACTTCATCCAAAGCCATCTTCCTAAATGTACTCTTTCTAAGACTTACTTGCAGCTGTTTCTCTGAATTAGATTTTATTCCCCTTTGACTTCTCTATCCTCTGTGTCCAGGAGCTGGCAAGCCACACTTGTTACACTGAGATGTTAAAAATCAATTGGCATTTTTTGTAGAATCTAGGGAATTGTGTGGTGTCATGAATATGGAAAAAGAGATTACTTCCCCAAACCTCACATAACTGTATTATCCATCTGAATTTTGGCATTGAGGTATACTGCAAGTGCTATATGCCATCTGGGTTAAATCCTTTTACCTTCTGGTCTTCTGTAGCTATCCCTTTGCTCACAGCTAGCACAGTTCCAACAAAAAAAAACCAAAACAGATGAATCACTAAGGATTTGTCTACAGAAAGAGTTGTTCCAGAATAGTTATTCCTGATGAATTGTTCTAAATTAAATCCCTAGATGGGCATTTGTATTTTGAAATACTCATGCTTTATTCCAAATTAGCTTAATCAACTGTAGAACTAGATTGAATTAGTTTGGCATAAGACCAGACTTTTATGTTCTAGCATAAAAGTATCTATACAAGGAAAGAAACACTAATAGCTATTCTGATTTTAATTAATCCTATCTTAATTCAAAATAATGTCAAGTTTATGTCCAAACCTGTGTGTGTGTATATACCAGAGAGATACTGTATGATATTCTGAAGGGTTCTGTGTTCCTGGAGTTTAATATTCTTACATGGCTTGTGTTGTGGGTCTTTTTTAAAACAAGACTTCGTTATATGCAAAACTCTTGACAATGATACATCTTTAAGGCTTACAGTATTTGAACAGAGCGGTGAAAACTGTTGAAGCTGGATAGAGGTGAAACAACCTCATTCTATTTATGAAATAAACCTGTCTTAAATTTTCTGAGTTGTACAGTAATAACTGCACATTTCACTTTCAAAGTGTGTTCCGCGTATGCAGCAGCTCAGAAGCTGGATAAATAGAGTATGTACAACTTCTCTTTTTCAGGCTGGAAAGGAAGGAAATACCTTTTGATTTTTGCATTAGTGATGAGCCTACAGAAGTTTTAAAAACCCAAAACAATACCAAGCTTTATAGTGTGAACTCTTTCTCTCTTCCAATTTAGAAAACATATATTCCCATCTGGATGAGGAGAGCTCAGAATCTTCAGCATATGCTGCAGGTCTCCATGTGGAAAGACTTCGTCCCCGGCCAAAAGTGTTCATCTGCTATTCCAGTAAAGATTGCCAGAAACACATTAACGTCATCCAATGCTTTGCTTACTTTCTTCAGGACTTTTGTGGCTGTGAGGTAGACTCAATGTTTCTTCTGTAAACAGTTTCCTTAATTGAAACAGCACCCCCAAACCTCATAATATGTGCTCGAAAAATGAAATATTTCAATCTCTCCTTTCCACAGAGATAACTTTCGTTATTTTTCTAAATACTGGCTACATAGATTTTCTTTACTTAGGGAAAGGAACAGATCATAGCCCATGTTTTTAAAAAACAGAGTAGTGGAAAATGTGTACTGCATCGATTCCAGGACTTTTATTCAGCTGTGTTTAGCTTTGTATTAACTGCTTTTTCTGTATAGTAGGTGTTGCATCTTTATAGTCGGATGTCACAAAGAGGTATTAGTGTCTACCTGATATACTTCAGTATTCCTAAAACACATTTTATATTGTAATTTTTGAAGTGGTTGAATCTATCAAAACTCATACCGTGTAATTACGATTAATTTTTGACACTATGTATTAATTCGTATTGACTTTTCCATTCTATTCCAATAATGCTGTAAAATTATAATCAATACGTGGCTGGTCTTTCACTTCCCAACTGTAAAAATGCAAGACAGCGGTTAGCCTATTTTTGCCACATTTGAATCCTGCCACGATGATGTTAACGGTGTGAACTGGGACTGGATTTCCCACCACACAGCAAGTCTGGCCTCTAGTGGCCAAACTCTGTAACAGAAGCGATGCCTCACGTGTTTGGGGATGTTCACAATTGATTCGTGTGTTTAAAATAGTTCAGATGAGGTGATTTATAAACTTGTACGTCTCTAAAGGGGTATTCTTTAGCTGTGCTACACCATACCTCTTTGGGATAGTGTTAAGGTGAGCTGTTACCACTGTAACTATGTACTAATGAATATGTGGTATCAAGCATCATTTAAGATTTATATGATGAAATATTGAAAGGAACTACATACAGAAATAATACGTGTTATTATTAAAGCTGTGGAGTTTAATAGAAAAAGTGATGCTCAGTGCACAACAGAACAGTTGAACAAGTATTTTTCATATGGAGTTGGAACTTGTTCTCATAATGGACAAAACCAGTGGCGTTTAATAGCCATTTAAAATAATAACTTGACCATACGAAAAATCGTTTCTCAGATATAGGAGATCAGACAGTAGCTTGAAGAACAGAAACAAAAACAGACATGAAAGAAAATCTACCTGCATTCTACCTTTATCAGAGTATCTCCCAAGCAGCTGTAAAACGACTTTTCTTCCCCACACGTAGAATAGTTCAGTTGGAAGGGGCCTACGGTGACCATCGCTCAGGCATGATCACTTTCTTCCTGTAGCTGACTGTGCAGTAGCAGCTTTCATGAGTTCTGTTCTAGGCACCTACCTGCTCTCTGTCTTCTGTCATGGTGAAGTTTTCCACTCGGTTATGGGTGATACAGCAGAGCAAAAATACTTTGTTCTCTGGGAAGATGCATGAGAGAAGAATTTATAAATGGTTTTGATGTGTGTCTATTATGAATGAGTTTTCCATCAATTTTTTTCTGATATTTTACTGCTCGTTCCTTCTTCCATGAGATTAACCATTGTGTCCTTTATCTTGGTGTACATAGGCATTTTAGACCATGTAGAATGTTCAGAAAATTTGACAAAGTACAAAATAAGACAACTCATGATAAAATTTTCAGAGCTTTCTTACCAGAGATAAGCTGCTGCTGTTTTGCATCCTAACTGAAAGGACTCAATGTTATAGGGACTACTTACGTTTGTATCTAAAAAATTCTTGTCATCAGACTTCATTAATATGCAAAAGATGATAAATGAAATGGAATTCCATTACATTCAGCATATTAAGAACCCAAATATGCAACAACAGTTAAACTGTTTGAGGCAGGCACAATACATTGTTTATTGTGGATAGGTGATATCTAATTTGATCAGATAAGTAAATAGCAATTTACCTAGTTCAGTCACATTTTCTATGTTCTTTTTATTCCTGAGAAATACTGATATGTACCACATCCATAGTGTGTTGGTTTTTTTTTTTTTTTTTAAGGAACTACCCAGTTTACATTCAGCTACTTGGCTTTACACTGTTACTTGTTGATTCCATAAATTTATAGGTGACACAGGTATAACTACACATGTTTTCCTTTTTTTAATTTTTATTTTCTTTTTTATTTTGGTGAATAACTACTGACATACCATCACTGATTCCAGTTTGTCCACTATCAGGACTATGTTAATTATTACTTATTTCTCTTTTAAAACATCTTGTATTTGCATCGAGGACAAGCTGTAGTTAAACTCAGTTGTCAGATAAATACAAGCTGACTCACTGAGTATAACACATTGAAATTTTATTAGCAAATATATCTAATAATGAATAACAACCAGAAGGTTCTTTTTCTTTTCCAGGTGGCTCTAGATTTGTGGGAAGATCTAAAAGTCTGTAAAGAAGGTCAGAAGGAGTGGCTTATTAAAAAAATAAATGAGTCACAATTTATCATCATTGTGTGTTCTAAGGGAATGAAATACTTTGTTGAAAAAAAGAACTGGAAACACAGCGGGGTAACCAAAGATGCAGGAAAAGGAGAACTCTTTCTGTTTGCTGTGTTGACTGTTGCAGAGAAGCTTCGTCAAGCAAAGCAGAATTCAAATGACCTCTGCAAGTTTATTGCAGTCTACTTTGATTACTCCTGTGAAGGAGACATCCCTGGTATTCTGGATCTAAGTACAAAATACAAACTCATGGACAATCTCCCTCAGCTGTATTCACATTTACACTCCAGAGATCTTAGTGTACAGGATGCAGAGGTGTTTCCTGTTAACATCAGTAAAAGGAATTATTTCAGGAGCAAATCTGGGAGATCCCTTTATGTTGCTATTTGCAATATGCATCAGTTCATCGATCAGGAGCCAGATTGGTTTGAGAAACAATTTATTTCTTTCCCTCCACCTTCTTTACATTACTCAGAGCCTGTCATGGAAAAATTTGATTCGGGCTTGGTTTTAAATGACTTAGTCAATAAACAGGTGATGGATGGTGATTTTTACCTGAAAACAGATGTAAATAATATTTCAGCAGGGAATTCAGACTCTCACTGTATAATTCAGCACTTAAACCTTGGAGAAGATGTAGCAGCTCAGGACATTCAAGGTGGTAGCAGCTCTGTTCTTCAGCCATTGTTACATGTTGTTAAAGCTTCAAATCTTAAAGATATGCCTCGAGATTCTGGAATCTATGATTCATCTGTTCCTTCATCTGAATTATCTTTACCTTTAATGGAAGGACTATTGACAGACCAAATTGAAACATCTTCTATTACAGAAAGTGTTTCTTCATCATCAGGTTTAGGTAAGATACCGCAGTGTTTCAAAAACTACATTCAGTTATTCTGAGCATATTTCTACCATCTCAAAATATTTAAGATAATATATGAGGAGCCATGCAGAAGGCTGCAGAGGAAGATGAGTGTTGTATAAAGATGGTAAAAAAAGATAAGTTTCAGCAACTTTAGAAAAATTAATCTTTTCCTTAACTTACTGTGGGGGGGGACTCTTAGCTAAGTTGGATTTCACTAAAATTCTATTAATAAGTCACTTCTCATTAATTTACCTGTTATTGGAGAAATGGCTTCTTTCTCATGGCTTCTTTCTTCCAGCACTCCTTGGCAGCTGGGATACTCAGTTGACAGCTATGTGGCTTAATCAAGAGGGTGCACTTGGAGAAGGACCATAAATCTAAACCTGACATCCTATTTTGCCCCAGCACATACTAGAATCTTTAGGGATATAGTCTGTACTGTGGTTAACTCAAGTTTCAGAATGACATTAGGCTACTTATCAGATATGGGGCTGGGGAAAATGAACAAATGGGTTTCAGTGAAGGAATTTAAATGCTTGGAAGGCACTCTCCAAAATAGATACCCAGATTAGATGCCTACAGTTAGAAGGTGTAAATATTGCCTCAAGCTATACAAGAAGCTGATCTGACCTTACTAGTTATAGTACATTGAACTGGCATCACAACTACATCAGTGTACAATTGCTGGAAAATTCCGCTCATAGAATAAAATTACTGTTTGCTGAGATTTTCCTTAAGCAGCTACAACAGGTGAATATTGCATTCTGATGGTGGTATGCTGTTCTGCGTTCTCAAATGAGTGTTGACAGTGAGCTAATTTGTTAGACTGTTGGCTAAATGGATTCTTTTTTATTTTTTTTGATTATTCAGATAAGTCATAACTAGTGTTTGATGCCAGAATTATCTTGGGGCGGGGAGAGAATGTAAATGTTGGTTTACAGATACAGCATCTAGATCTATAGGCTTAGATAGTCTATAGACAAAATAACTAAAACCTGGAATCTCTTCAAGTGGAAAAAATCCAGATGTACTGATTTAACTACATGTCACAAATACTCTATTCTTGTTTCAAAATTAGTACAATATTCTTTAATTTCCTGCCATCTTCTAACATAGCCTGTCTTCACATTTGTGGGAAAAATTACAGATGATATTTGTGAAGGTTCTAGTGTTGGATGAAAGTAGAATGCTAGTTTAAAATCTATGTCCTCTCTGTAAAATGCTTTACTGGTGTTCCCCTCCTGATTCAATCACAGAGCTGTCAGCTGGGTGTCCCAGCTGCCAAGGAGTCACTGGAAGAATGAAGCAGTCTTTCTAGTAATTAATTCTCAAGTCACATACCTACTTGTTAACATGTTTCAGCTGTAGAGGTTGAACATTACAGCACTAGCTGATAGAGTTGGATCTTAACACCAATGTTCCAGTGTCTTAAGAAACCACAATTACTTCTGCCATATTCTCATTCACTGTCCCTGTCCAAAAGCACCACCCTGACCAACTCTCCTCAAACCTCCCCTCACCCAAACCGCAGTCCTGGTGAGGTACAGCGTACAACAGAGACAGTATCTAGAACTGAGCATCATCTGCCTATTAGAACGTGACCCATTAAATCTTTTTACTGTCTCAGACATACAAAATGTTTATACCTCTATTATTTATATATATGCCTAATAATGAGAGGGTAGATAGAAGTCTTTAGCTTTTATTCTTGTTCTAAGAGTTGGACACGTCCACGTTATTACTCTGAATTCACAATGCCATTTCTGTTCTGACTACCTATTTTTTATCCATTACTTGGTCAGAACAGAATGGAATAGCTCTGCTGTTTAGCATCTCAAGGTAGATCTTTCCTTTCTTCTTTAAAGGACAGTTTGATTTAATCTTTTGAATTAATATCATGTCACATAGTTAGTACTACTTGCTATCTTTCAGTGCAGTTCATGTGCAGACTACTGATCTGCAAAGAAAAGATTCTCAAAAGAGATCATCATATTGGGCATCATCAACTGAAGTTCAAACCAGTTTAATTTTGAGAAAGTACCAATGACCAAAACTTTACTAGGTCCATTCACAAATAAGGTCTTCTCTAGGAAGCCCTGCCTGGAGAGGAAATTTTGTATTAATTCTTTAGATGAGGAGTTACTGAGCATGGTAGTTCAGCCTCATGAAAGTATAGCATTATGATCCAGAAGGTGTTCATAAATTTTCGTTGCATAGTTTCTAAAAGGTTGACCAAATACAAAATCAGTGTTTCAGTTAATGAACCTCACTTTTCTTTTTTTCTTTTTTTTCCTTTTGTAGGGGAAGAAGAACCTCCTGTAATCACTGCTACAAAATTCTTAGTGCCTGGAATATGTAAAGCAGAACTTCATTGCCATATCCATACTGATGAACTGCAGGCAATTGCTCCTTTATAATACGTTACAACACTGTTGTGCATTGCCACTTTATCAACAGCCTCTGTTTGTGCTTTAACTACCATGCTGTCTCAGCACTAAATCTACTTGAAGGAACATACTCCCTGAAGAAGATCTGTTATTCCTAAGGGATTTTTTTTATGTCCAGTAAACTTGAATTTGTTGGTCTTTATATATAGTCTTTCATTATTTGAAAAATACAATATGGAAAAATAGATGGGAATACATTTCCTATTACCAATTAAATGTCATAATATTTCACTGTTTACAGATGCAATAATCAAAAATTACTTTTTTTTTCTAGAAATAATATTGCAACTGGACATAAAATAGCTTGGAACATTAAGTTTTAGCAAATTTTGTAGCTCAGCCTCTAGTTTGAAGTGCTGACATACTTGATGGCAGGAGTATTGCAGTGAATGAGAGCAGGATTTTTTTACAGAATCAAGATAAAATGCCAAAGGTGAGATCAAGAAATTCTCCATCAGAAGAAATAATTTTCTTTTAGAAATGTTTGAACTCCTTTCCTCGTAGTCTCCTTTCTTTCCCAAATGTTAATGTGTCTCAGTATTTAATTTCAGATAAGTGCACATTTCCCTCTTCTGTATGATTCTCCTATCTCTTCTCCACAATCTGGCTATGATGACTCACAAATAGTACCATACTGAGTCTGAAGTATCATTTTTGTAATAGACAAAACTATAGATCCTGCATATACTGAGTGATACCATGGAAACAAAGTTTCCTGTTTTCTTCCTGGAAGGGCTAACATAACATACTTTAAAGAGATGGGGTATGGAAAACCAAATTTTGTATTTAAGACATCATTCTGGATTTGTTCACCTGTGAGATGAGTATGCTTGATGGGGGATTTCATATCCTTCAAGGACATGCTTCTACAAAATCACCTGGAGTGAAACAAGTTAAAACAAGCAATTAACAGGCATGAATACTTTGCTTTGTTTTGAGCTGACCTGTAAATAGAAGCCTATGAGTTATTTTGCAGTTCACACTAATCATTACTTAGCAATTAAGATAGTACAGTCTTAGCATTTTTTGTTAATATAATGCTTCTAAAACTACAACTGGACATGCTTATCTAAAGCCACAGGGCATGCATGTCTTTTTCTGCAGTGAAGAGGTAGGTATACCTTCATTCAAAATATCCCTGCTGTTTCCAAAGAGCAACTTTTCATAAGGAAACCCCATCTATGTAACTGCAATTCTAGGCACTATAATAAGAAGCCTGATAACAGCAAATTGTAAATGACACCTTATCAATGTGCCTTCGCTAGTTTTGCTTATGGAGCCAGATTCTGTCTCATTTACTCTGTCTTCACATTCCACTAACAGGAGGTTACTTTAAGAATACATCAAGGGAGAGCTCAAACACCTCAAATATTTTCTCAGTTTTGATAGATGAGAATTGGACATTGCTAATTGTTATGCTGTATTATCCATTTTATTAGCGTGAGATAAAACTATTAAACCAGTAGTGATTTTGGCTGAGTAGCTTCAAAGCTCCTGGGTTTTTTTTGTGTCAGTTTATATTTAATCATTTGAATTTCTAAGCAAAAGACTCCTGGAATTGTTTTCACAGGTGGAGTAAGAAAGTGCTGTAACAATTGTTTGAATAGAACTGTCCATGGCAGAACTCCCAATATGCTTTGCAATTCTAATATGGAATTCTGTGATCAACTGGATTGATGTGTCAGATTTGGAGGGCCTTGTCTGTTAATGTAATATTCCTTTGTCTTCCAGTTTTCTGAATTTGAAAGAACACTAACTGGAAAACCTCATACTTGAAATACCTAAGTAAGTTTAGGTAGTTCTATGTACATGGTGAATCATCTGCACCTTGGATGATTTTTTTTTTTTTTTAACTGTACCTTGGGCTATCGTGAAGGCAAAATTCTTCATGTTTTCCTGTTCTTTGAAGTTCAAAAATCTGGGTCAAACTATGCAGAATAATCTGTAGGTAAATGCTCTTTCACGAAATCCACCTATGAAGGATCTTGATTCATTGCAGTTCTTGCCGTTCTAATAGAGGAAGAGTTTGGATTGATAAGACAGAGGCAGAAAGGTTAGAAGATTTGTGTGCTGAAGAGCTGCTGTACATATAAATGCCAAAGCTGTAAAACATGAGGAGGCGGCAATTCCTTAGCAGTTAGCTGGTGAAGGTAATGCTGCTTTCCTCTGTGGAAAGTCACAGCTCATGTACTGTTATTTTATGCTAGACTAAAGATTTCCTGGTTCTTTTAAATTCAGTAGCAGAACTGGTATTACTTAATGGAATTAGCTTTTCATTTTGAGCTCTAACAAAGCTCAGTTTCGAAAATGGACGAGGGCCATTGTACAAAGAATTACTTGTCATTAATGTTTTTATTTCTTCAAAATTTGCTATACAATCCTGCGAATCTTATGTTTTTAATTATAAAAGGTCTACACAGGTGCCAGTCAAATCCACTGGGGGAGGGGGGGTCAGGAAGGGGGAGGAAAGTAGAATTCCTTCATTCCTTCTTAGCATAAGGTAGAAACAGCCTATTATATGTCCTCAGAAGAAAGACAATAAATTGAAAATTCAGAGTAGGACGGCTCACACTTAAAATATACGAATTTGAGAAAAGTAATACTTAATCTGATTTAGCGTAGCTTTTTTACAAAGCCACAGTGATTTAAAAAATAAGAAAAGTACTGTGTATATTGAGATGCTGGAAGGACTTAGTACTGAATTTGCAAGAATTCTGTATTTTTCCTCCAGTCAGAGTAACAGCAAAAATCCTTGTAAAAAAATATTTTTAAAACAAATATGTTAACAAATGTTAGAGGTTAGCTTACTACTATTGTCAAGCATTAGTAAACTCTAAGCAGAATGTTAATGGTGAAAGGATCCCTTTAATTTCTACTAGACTCAAATGTGTAGACATTGTTTGAATGCTTTAAAATGTATTTTCTGGGAGGGTGGAAGAACATTGGAAAACTGAAGGTATAGCAGTGTGTACAACATTTTGAATTATAAGTATGCCTGTTGCCATAATTTGTACCTGTACATAAACACATCAACTGTTGAACATATGCAGCTGGAAACAAAATACAGCAGATGTTTGCAGAAATAAAATTTTTATGATACTATGATTTAGAAGTTAAACATAAAAATAAAACAATTTTTGTTCGGTTTCTTGCATTGGGCTTTTCTTAGTAGTATAAGAAGATTTGGCTTAAGAGTTCATTTGTTTTATCCAAAACACTTTTAGTGCAGTTATGCACACCACACAAAGAACCAGAGTCTATAACTGCTATTCATACTTTATATCTGGACGCAAAACAGATATTTTGATGACTGTTTAATATAGTAAGCAACTGTAAGAAACTTGAATTTTCTAGAACTTCTCTATTGGACCGACTGAGTCTGTTTTGTTTTGATTTTTTTTTTTTTTAAATGAAACTGCCCTAATGTGATTTTATGTAGTTATTTTTGCTATATCCTTCTTGAAGGTCTCCTGGCCTTCAAGTACATGGTTGTGCATGTCAAGTGAAATGTATCCACAGCGACTACAAAACTATAACGTGGATTAGATTAATTTTGTCAAAGAAAATGTGCTAATTACCTAAGTTTTATATGCTTTTTGTTTTCATCCAAGTGAACGTCAAAGCACTGTTCCAGTCAATGAATCCTGCAAACCGTAATTTCAGCCTTGAAACCACTTGTATTCCTTATGTTGCTCAGGTAAATGAAGGCTTTTATAATGGACTTCTGGTCTAGCACAGTCAAACTTAGAATGCCATAGACAAACCTGTAATGAGCCTGTAAAACTTGTTATTATTGAAGACTTGAGTTGCTTATTGAAGACTTGAACAGCTTACTTAATAGCAGATAGTTTGCATACACATTAGTTATGTTGAATTTACAGGATGATGTTTAAAATGTGTGTACCTGTTGTTTTCTTTGGGCCTCTGTCCCACAATTCCTAATTCTGCTTCTATCACCAGGTAGATCAGAGATGTGAATAGTTGCATTAGTAATTCCAAAGGGAATTTGCTAAGTTCCTTCTCTGTATCTGAACTGGACTTCTTTGAGATGTGTTATCCATGTGTATATTCAGTAGTCCTAGCCCCTGTATCCTCTGCCTTGGAGCCCAGTACAAGAGGGACTTTGAAAGAAAATGGAAAGAAGGGGTTGCTCTAGTGTTTATACCTTTAGTTTAATACATGAGAATCCTTGGGATACTTTCCAGATACTGGGGAACTGTTGGGCCAAAATTCTTACACCTTAAGGATTTGGAAAGATATGCTTTGATACACAGATGTGAATGTGGCGAATACATCTCAAAAAAGTTAAGGAAATAAGCTCTCATTTTTCTCATTTAAATATTTTGGTGACTTGATACTGAAATCCCCCACCGAAGAACCCCAGCTCACACAGCATCAAACACTTTTTGAGTTATAGTGGAAAAATGTGCACTGCATACAATATGTGCATTCAACCCATAACTGGTCAGACCCAAGTTATTTCTAAAAGGTCAGACGTTTAAAGGTTGTGCTGTAGATGAGGTGAAGGAACTTTCTTCCCTATCAGCTATAAATTATTTAATTTTACTTGCTATCATCTGTTGCTGTTTCTCAGACTCATAAAAAACAGAACAATGGTCAATTTATATCTTTTACAACAGAATACAATTTCACTCTTTAGTCTCTTAGAACTGATTTAATAGTCTGATTTACCTATGATGCTTGTTTTTATGGGCAGTTGCACTGTTGACAATGATTTTGTATTTATAGCAGTCCATGGAAAGAAGCAGAGGTTGGTCATACTGTTCGGTTCACAAAAAGTAGAGGAAAAGGAAATATTCTTTCTTCCGTGTCAGATGTCACCTAGATGACAAGAAATTTAAGTGCTTGCCCATACTACCTCAGTGTTTAAAGCTCAGTTTCTAGTGATTTTGGTATTTTACTCCAATGCTTTGGGAAGCATTTGGAAGCATTTTTTACTCCAAAACTTTGGAAAGGCTAGGAGTTTGAAAACATTAATGTGAAAATATGAAAGATACAGTGGTGGGGGTGGGGGGTGGGGTGGGGTTGGGGGAGTTATATATCGTTAGGTATAATAGTTTGTAATAAACTATTAATAGACATAAGTTAGAATATTAAACATCAGTGCAAAAATAAATTAACAACTGGAGAATTTTCTTCATCGATTAATAAAAAGATTTCATTTTTAATGGATAGGAAGCTGTAATGTTCAAGGCTGATTTACCACAGAAATCAAACTACCTTTTTTCCAGACTTGAGGCTTTGACA